ATATATATATATGCATGCATGTGTATTGATGGACACACTCTTAACCTACTTACGACAGCAGGATAGAAGAGACGTAATGCGTGGAATATGAGGGCGAGGACCGGCGGAGGAGTTGCAGCGAAGCCGCTGCCATTTATGAGCTGTAATTGCCCTGTCTCCTCGACAGCTCTGTGGCTCTGCATCAGGTGACCTGTCTTCCATGGTGGAGGCCTTTTCACGGGCACCGGGTCACCGGCACCCTTGTGATGGCAGACTGCAGAATCTGCAGACTGGGCGCAGGCCTGCTTGGACTGCTGGGTCGTGGAGCTGGCACTCGAACCTCCTGCCGACGCTTTGAAGAGTCAAGTCTCGGGTTGATAGTCTGAGAGCTTGTGGTTTGAAGTCTGATGGTTCCAACCCTTGATGGTTTGAAAGACGCTGGAGTTCGAAAGGTTGGGTGCCTTGGTATGGGCAAGCGAGCGGACGTGAAACTTCGAGCTTTTCAAGCTCGAAAGTTTCAAGCGTTCAAACACTCAAATGTTCGAGCTCGACTGTAGCTGCTTCGAGCTCAAGCTTCAAACGTTTGCCGCCGCCGAGTTCGACCGGCTCTCAAAGTTTGAGAGATTTGTCAAACTCTGAAAATTCGTCAGTTCGAAGGTTTGACATGCTTAAAAGCACGATTGAACGTTCGACAATTTGAGAGCTTGAAAGGTTGACTTCGGGCTCGGTCCGCGGTTGGCCAGTGAGGTCGACAGTTTGACAGCTCGAAAGCTTCAAACTTGGGCTGACTTGGACTTCGAAAGATTGGAAGTTTGAGAGTTTGGAAGTTTGAACGGGGTATGCAGTTGCAACGGCTTGAAGGTTTGATACGCGTCGAGTTCGAAAGCTTGAGGGTCCACCGACTTTCGAGTTCGAAAGCTTGAGAGATGGATTGAACGTTCGAGCTTGAAGAGTCTCAAAGTTTCAAATACCGCAGCTGGTGCCATGTCTTAAACTCGCCCCCTCAGTTAAGTGATGACACTTAAGCTTGTATCTTGAACCAGACCCCGCGTTAGACGGTGGCGCCTGATCTCATATCTTGGACCCCGCTTCTCTGGAGGCGACTGGCGGCAGTTGATTGTATGTCTTTCCATATCATAAAACCGCCCTGCCAGTAGGCGATAATGATACATCCCGAATCTCAAAGTCTCCCCGCACTCGGCAACTGCGATTGATCGCATATCTTACTGACACGTGGCCCCTCACTAGGCGGTGGTGGTTGATCCTCAACAGTGCATGTCTTAAACCTGCCCCATCATCATTCGATCGGTTGATCCCGTCTCTATCTTGAACTCGCCCCCTCATTAGGCGAAGGCAACTGATCCAATGTGTCAAACTTACCTGAGCCGTGGAATTTAGGTACAAAGGACCTGAGCATTTAGGCCATTCTGGCAGGCACCTTGAATCACGACCCTAATTCCCATACTGAAGACGTAGGGACCCTAAACGCCAGATAGTGCATACACGAAACCTCAAATTGCGCACTTTCAGACTCGAACTGTGAAGCGCTCGAACTCTCAAACTCCGTGTCTGTCACCCAAACCCGAGCTTTCCAAGATTGACAAATTGAGACATGTTTAGGATTTTTAGCCTTTTGACCTTCGAAACGTTGACGTCTCGAATGTTCAATCTCGGGCTGTTCAAACTTTCAACGTCCGATCGTTGAAACTTAAACAGTTCGAGCCTGGGAGGCGCTGTGTCGGGACCCCTGCATCCTCCATCTCACGCCCGTCGCGCACACATCGCCACGGCTTCACACGCTCGCGCCTGTTCTCAAGCTGGAATCTCCCAATGTTCGAACCGCAAACTTTTCATTGTCTTAAGTTTTCAACCGTTCAAGCTTCCCAAGCTCTTTCTACATTTGATACGTGCAAGCTTTCAATACTTCAACTTGGAACACCCCTACTCGCGACACCTACCGAAAGTTCTCAGTTATTGCCAGAACATCGCCCCGACCCCCTCCCCTGTACTCTGCAGCTAAGGATTGCAACGATGCGAAAGCCTTGGCAGAGTGCATCTCTCAACACTTGGCGCATCTTGGGCAGATTATGCGCGGCCGGCCGGTCGCAGTTCGCAGTGTATCCCGGAATCGTAACGACTTCTCTTCCACGTTAACTTGCTGCACTCGGTGATTCCCTGTGCTCTGGCCCGCTTCTGGGCTCGAGATCACAGTTTAGCTCAGACCAAGCCCGACCCAGGCGGCCTTTGACGAGCTCCACAGACCCGCCACGAGTCGTCGCCGCGGAGGTCGCAATTCAATTCCTTGGGCGGATTTACCGCATTCCTGGACCCTGAGCAAACCTGCGGCTCCAATAGATTACTCTTACTTTGGGGACTATAAAGTCATACTCACGACAGCTAGCATACTGCAGCGAGGCTTTTACAGTTCTATCTGCACTAGCAGTTGGGCCCGGATGCCGGCCGAAACCCGAGTTGATGGAGGCATCAAGCAGAACCCTCCCCGCCACTCCCTGCTCTCTTCGTCGGTAGTGCTGACGCGGGTGGATGTTGGATCTTGGATGTGATGGGATGTGATGATGCCAGCTCGGTTTTCCTGCATTGCTGATGGGCTATTTTTGCTTGCGTCGCATGGGATGCCTCGTCAGCTCTGGAGCTCACTTCCGGTCCCTCCGGCCGCTCAGCCACGAGCCGCGGGCAGGTTAGGTAGCGACTCCTTGGACCTCAGGCCTGAGCAGAGATGGGGCTTAGATAGGAAGATGCTGTGCGCTGCAGCGCCTGCAGACAGCTCCCCTATTCCATAGGATATATAGGATTTTGCAATCTGAAATTCTACCGACCAGAGGACGGTTTTCTCTTTGAATCTGCAGTGCAGCGTCAGGGCAAAGTCTTCCCACCACGCGTCGATCGCCTCTTCAACCTGCGCGAGGTGGCCAGGAGCCCAGCGGGGCGCGCAATGGAAGGGACTTCGTTGGGTTTAGGGCCGTTTAGGGGGCTTCTGCGTGTCCGGGCCCAGGTGCCCCGAGAGCTGCGCCGCGTCTTCGCTTGGCCTGGGCGCCTGGAGCCTGTGGAAGCCCAGCTTCGACCGCGGCAGATCCTGCGCCCGAACCCAGACCAGGGCCGCCAGGAGCAGGCGCTTTGCTGAGTCCTGTCCCTCTGCCGTCCCTCCCCTGTGGCTAGGGCCGTGACCGGGGTGACTGTGACCGAGAAGTCTACGTCTACGCCCAGTGAGAGCTTGAGCCTGCTCAGAGTTGGTCACGGCAGAAAATCGGACAACTTGTCGCCTCAACATTCTGCTCGAGAGTTAAGTTGAGACGAGACTGCAGAGACGAGAGGGCAGAAAAGGGAAGAGACCAGGCACAAGACCAGAGACTACAGAGAAGACAGCAGAGGGAGACAGACAGGCAGACTGACAGACAGACAGACAGACAGAGAAGAACGGAAAGACTCGGATAGACAAACAGAAAGAGCAGCGAGTCTGGCAGCTCAGGGGTCTTTTGTGACCCTGCTCCAATACTCAATCTCCTTCCTCCACATTTCTCGGCTACTTGAGGCTGCTGTGCCACCGTACTGTGGAGAGCAGTTCCTGTTATTGGATGTGGGTGGCGAAAAAATTCTGAGTCGCTCTCAGTTCTTGGAGCTATGAGCTTGTGGTCGCCTGACACAGGCATCTCAGAAAGGTAGTGTGTTGCTCAGCATACTGGTGGATGAGAGAACCTTGTCATGAGTCGGCTCAGCAGCTGGGCGATGGCGCAGTCCAGCGCGGCGGCGCAGACCACATGTCACCGGTCTGCATTATTTTGTTCATACTGTCTACGCTGAGGTGTCGAACGAGTAACGAGAGCACGTGCCATCCAGCATCCGTTAGTCACATTCATTCGCCAAGGCGAGTTGGTCTACTCGTTGTTTTGTGGCTGCCAGCCGTCGGCGTTAACGCCGGGGCAGACGCAGTCGCAGCAGCAGCAGCAGCAGCAGACAAGGCGGCGGCCAGGAGGAGCTGGAAGAGGAGGGTGGTGGTGAAGGCCCGCCAGAGAAGGTGGCAGGAGCTCACGGAGTGCTTGGTGGTGATGGAGTTGGGAGCCCTGCACACCATGGCCGCCGCTGGCCACCTTGCGGGAAGAAACCAGGGGAGGCCGGCGCTGGGAAGGCACGGGGCAGCAGTAAGGGCGACGGTTTGGGGCTGCGCTGGAGCCTTTTTGAATATCTTTGCAGCCTCGAGAGTAGGGGGGTTAGGGGTATGCGGGCAAGTGGGAAAGCGGAGAGGGCGGTGGGGGCGGTGAGGAAGTACTCGTACTTCCCAGAAGTTGTCGGGTGGTGAGCCATCTCATGATTTTGAAGTCTGTGACGTTTCACTCTGCCAAAATAATTGTTTGATCTCCATGACTGCAGATGATATCTTTGAGTGGAAATCCAGCTTCGATTTGATCGGCATCAAGCAGGTAAAGCATTCAGGCACTTTCTGCATTCAGCATGAACGTTTGTTCCTTTAAGCGGACAAGCAACTGGTGGTTCGTTACCTATGTCCACCGACGGTGAGAAATAGTGGACATCTCTTATGAGAGTCACTATAGTGGTCCTTCATGTGCCATCCATCATCCATCCAGCCAGGCAACCAAAATTATTCTGATGGACGTAGGCCGGATAATCAACACGAAATCTCGTATCTTGTATTTGCCCGAGTGCTGATCCTAGAAACTGTAGCCGATCATGCTTATTGGTTCTCATTGAATCCGCGCAAGCATGCGATATAGCTAGGTTGTCGTGTATGCAGTGCTAAAGAAGGAGTCGCTGTCGATTTCAAAGCTACCTTGACAAATCGTTGACCCTTCATTCGATCCGGAATGCTTCTGTACCGGTCTGCGGTGTTTTCGGGGCCTGGATTTCTGGCCCGGTAAGACGCGGAGGCTGACCCTTCCCGTGTTGCATTCAGCCATAATTTGCCATGCTGAGAGGCACAAAGAGCTGGGTTATTCGAGCTTCTCACGCAGTTGTCCATTTGAGAAGGACCTCCTCGTCGGGCTCTGAACTCTGCAGGTCGTAATGCCAGCAGACAACAAAGTGAAGCTGCTGGACGTATCCAAGCTCAGCAAGCGGGGGATATGAAGAACTATTGAATCAAGAGCTTTTGAAAATGAATTTTGGTTTTAATGTTCCAAAGTTTTAGGTTCCGTGGAATATGAGATACCCCCAAATTAAGTTCCATTTTAACAGCTTCAAGCTTTGGAGGGGCGGAAGGTGGCCCCAGCACTTGCGAACTGCAGGCTGGAGGGGGAGAGCGAACTCCTCGGACCACCCGGCCTCATGTACAACACCGTGGAGTACTTCAGCAAAAGCACGCCAGTAGTTCCTGCAGCGCTCAAAGCATCCCGGATCGGCGCTTTAAAGTGGCACCTTGGCTGTTGATAGGCTTTTCTGTGTCAGACTTGCTCGTGGTTCTGATTTACGAGTCTAGTTTTGTCACTGCGTGTCCCAGGCAGGGCGATGAAAAGTTGGCATCCACGACGTCTGCCGACATCCTATCCCTTGTGATGCCTTCAACATGGAAGGAGATGGGGATGGCAGCTGCCGAAAGCAGCATGCTTAGGTCCTGGTGTTGAGTGTGTTGGGTCTGCGAGTGTAGTGACACAGCTAAGCAACCCATTTAAACTCAGCCTCTCCAAGCTTAAAACATCAGGCTCAAAAGTGCGGCATCCTTGGAACCATTGTAACGTCAGAAATCGTCAGAGCCTTGTAAGCTCACCGTGTGATTTTCCTGGAACTTTATCAAGCTGTGAAAATCCTATGCAAGATGCAAGTCAAAATCTTGTGAGCAAAGAGTGGGGGTTTAGGGTTTGGGGTGAGTGTATAACAAACTTATGTGTCTGTGCCCGTGATTGCACGCATTAACTTCTGGCAGCTGTTGAGCTGTTGTTTCAAAATCGTCCTCACAGAAAATTACAGGCAAACTGCTCACAGAAAAACTGCAGCCTCTTGTCCCGTTTGCAAACGCACCCCATTGGTCTGGATGCCCCAGGTATGCAAAGAAGAGAGCTGATTTGATGTCGTGTTTTCAGTTGTGGCTGCTCGTTTTCTGATTGCGATTTCGCGTGTTCCGACATGTGGCTTTTTCTGTGACAGGCAGCGGAAAGGAAGGCGCAAGGGATTTTCGCGCCAATGTATGCAGACGACCGTGTGTTTTCCCGTTGGGGTCGCTTGTTTCCGAGGGTGGCTTTGCGGTTTTCCGCTCGTTTTCCGATTCTGGCTTTTCCTAATTTGCACTTTCTAACGTGGGCACCGGAGGCAGGCAGCGTCTGTTATTCGTTGTTTTCCGTTTGCTGCCTCGTTTTCCGACTGCGGCCGTGGTGTTTTCGAATGTTGCCGTCCTGGTTTCCGACCGTAGCCCCCGTGTTTCCGACTCCGCGTCTCTGTTTTCCGAATGCGGCTTCCGTGTTTCAAACTTGTTTGCTGAGTGCGATGCTGCCCCGGTTAGTTGGGGTTCCAGAGCATTTTTCCGTCCAGCCCTAAACCTCCCCAAGCCATGTTTCCCGATTTCTTTTGCTGAGCAGAGGGTGGGGGAGGTTGGAGTGACTTTGCGCCAGCTGGGCGGACAGAAGCCTAGTAGAACATGGCAAAACTTTGGGCATAGCTGGTGTGTCGAATGTTTGCATCCCTTTCGTCACGCACTTCGCGTAAGGAAGATCTGCTGGAAGGGGACGAGCAGGATGAGGCCCACACTGCACGCGCAGCCTGCAAAGAGGAAGTTGAACCAGCATGTCGAATGCATCCATGCTTGAATGTGCTGTCAACATGACAACGCACAGATGCCGGAATAACTAGGCAGTGGCGTCTTTAGTTCCGAAGCTTTCAGGCGTGAAGACGAGGTCTGAAGGTTCCAGGCCAGTCAAGACTGCACAAGGCTGGGTTCTTGTGCGTACAAGAACATGCACGCAGCGGCAGTGGGCGTGCGCGTTTTTGTCAGTCAACTTGAGAGTGACAACTCGCCAATTAGCCCGTGCAGGCAAGATACTGTACTGAGTCGCCTGAGCGGACACCTTGTAGTACAACCCGTTTGCTCACACCATCTCACACCCCAAACAATGAAGCTACTCGTACTGCCAATGCCAAACCCGAACCCCAACCACCGGCCTTTGGGCAAATTATGCTCGCTGTTTCTGGCCAGTCCGTCTCATCTGTGCGCGGCAGACAGCGCCGGCACAGCAAAGAAAAAAAAACATGCGCTGCCCACTGCCTTCCATCTCAGCATCACCCTGAGCAGTGTAGGTCGCGAGCTAAAGCCTTTGCGTAGCTGCTACGAACCCTAGGCGGTGACTTGGGGTGGTGGCGGGTTTGGAAGTGCTAGCTAGTGTACGCATTCGTGCCGAGGCACGAGGTACGACCGTACATGCTAGCGCTAAACTTCCAACATTGAAGCATCGAAGGTGTTTGTCGAGTTAAACATCGAAGGTGTCTGCTAGGAAACATCGCAGGTGTTTCCGCTAGTTCGAAGCATTCGAGCTATTGGGGTTCATATGGCCGACAACGTACACTGCTTAAGAAAGAGCCCCGAGTGGGGGCAAGTTTGAAGTGCCCACCCATCCAGAGATTTGAGGGCGACAGGAAACCTTCGCCACACCGCTGAAAAGTGTGAGGGTCTGCGTGAGCTGTAGATCGCGAGCTCAAGCTTTTGCTTCGCTGCTACGAACCCTAGGCGGTGACTTGGGGTGGTGGCGGGTTGGAAGTGCTAGCTAGTGTGCCAAGCGAAGCCGAAGCAGTGGCCGAAGTGCGGGGGGAAAGCCGCAGCGCCCGCAATCTCCGCCAAGCGGCTCTAGCGACATCCACAAAGCTGACCACGTCGAAGATCCAAATCTTCAGGCTCGGGCATCACAGTTCTGCTTCGCTCGAAATGCGCATGACTGTGGATGCTTCGGCGATCCTCAAGCGCTCAAGAGCAGCCGATGGTGTGCCAGTGTGTGTTTGTGTGTTTGTGTGTGTGTGTGTGTGTGTGTGTGTTTTTGCCTGTGCCCTGTGAAGATATGCAATGCTTCGGCTCAAAAGGCTTAGACAGAAGAATGCGGAGACTTGAGTAGACCTGCGGGTGCTCTAGGCGCGGACACAGGTGCGGCACTCTCAGGACGTACAATAGGCCATAATGTGTGCGGTGACTTGCGCAGGTCGTGTGCCCCCTTCGGGGGGGAGCGATGAGTCAAGCGGCGTACTCAGAGAGCCCTAGTCGAAACGGGAAGGCGGAGCTGGAGGGATCCGGGCTCTCCACGTGGCTCTGTGAGGCCCGAGGCCGAGGCGGAACTCCAACCAGGCCCGAGTACGTCAAGGCGAGTCCACGGTTTGGAGTCGTTTCTTGAGCTCTTAGAGTAGAGTCAAAACACGTCTCAGAAGGGGGTGACATGCCCCTCCAGCAGCCGTCAGGAGTCACAGAATGGCGAGGCGCCGTCACCTAGGCCGGGGAAGGGAGACCGATGCTCCAGCACCGCCACCTCCTCCTGACTCCTCCTCCTCCTCCTCATCATCATCATCAAGAAGACTCTAACTATTTTCCCGGTGGTCACCAGCTCTTTGAGCCAAGGGTGCCTTGTTGCAAAGATTGGGCCGCCTCATTTTCGGCCGAAGGTTCGGACACACCACAACATTTGTGGGAGACAACCGGGTTGTTCTCTTTGGTGGTGCCACAGGGGATTCTGGCCAGAGCCTCGGCACCGACACAATCTCGTGTGAAGACTCATTTTGCGCTCACTGGACCAGGCCGCTATACCATCACTGCGGATGCTTTCATGCTCAACGCCTGGAGCACGGAAGCAACGGTCGAACGGCAGCCGGTCATGTCTCTTTGCTTTTCCAGGTGCACACCAACACTTGGTCGCGTGTTCAGGCAGGAGGTGCGCTACAGAGTCAGAGGGCCGCGAAGTCGCAGCAAGCAGCGTTTCCGGTTTCAGGAACCTTGCCCTTTGCTCGTGCGGCCCATGCGGCTGCATGTGTAGACCACTCACAGATGGCGCCTGGGATGCACGAATCGTGCAGAGCTCCAAAGACTCGACGGGGTCTCGCTGTGGCTGAATCTAAGGTGATTTATGGTGGGGCAACAGGGGGTGGCAGTCTGTCGCAGCATGCTCAGATCTTTGATGCTGGGTCCAGTTTTGGGGGTCGTAAAGTTTGCTTAGTTCAGGTCTGACGAGCTATACCTCTTAGACATCCGCAACGAGGCCCGGGCCCTGAAGTGCGGTTTGAGCCACGCTTGAGCTCCTTGTTGTCTCAGGAAAGCTCTCAGTGGATGTCTGTTCCCGTGATGGGAACCACCCCGGGCCGAAGATACGGACAGAAGCCTCAGTATGCACTCCCCGGCCTGCTCATGCAGTCAGAGAGAGCACAGCGCACTCCAAGGCCACACCATGATTTTCAACAAGCCGCTGCTCATCGTGTTCGGAGGGAACAATGGCCAGCAGGCCCGTGCTGATCAAGGGAGCGCTTTCGAAAAGTCTCCCCACCGCCCCTGCGCGGCCGCAGACTGCCCCTGCCCGGTGCCAGGCCGAGTGCGATATTTGGATATTGGACGTGGAGCGTTCGCCATTTCAGTGGCAGGAGGCAGCTGTTTTGCAGCTTGCCACGTCAAAATTCTCTAAGCAGTTCTGGCTCGTCTCTCGCCTCGTAGGTGACCGTCATGGGAAAGCGTGGGCCCTTGCCACGCGTCTACCATTCGGCAGAGGCCCGGCCTGGCAAGTGAAGTCGCTGCCGAATTCTCCTTTGAGGGTGTGCCTTTCAAGGTGTGTCGTGAAGGGCCTGCTGCTGGCATGATGGTCGTTTTTGGTGGCCGGACTGCCGAGAACAAATCCCTGAAGGAGCTCTCTTGAGAGTCCCAAAATTGGCTTCAACCCGAAGGCCTTTTTTGGTCCTAAACATTCCTCAAGCCCATCCTAGATGGCACTTCAAAGCAGGACACCTGGGGTCTGCGGCAACACCGGGATGGCCGTTGGGATTGGGTAGAGGCGGAACAAAAAGCCGAGAAAAAGCTGGAGTGCAGCATGCTTCACCCTGAGGCTCCCGCAAAGCGCGGTGCTCCCCCCGAGCCTAGGCAAGGGAGAGGGAGCCTCTGCGGACCCTATCTCTTGGTCCTCTCAAATGGCCCCCGAAGGTTTCAGCATTCCTGCATTTTCCTGGATTCCAAGCTCTTGATCGTCGGCGGGCGCGGGCCAGAGGTCAACAAGCCTGGTCCTCGGCTGTATGAATGTGGACTTGCACGTGACGTACGCCGCTGCAGTGACTTCATGACCAAGCGGCACCGAGGATTTTGCCCACCGCAGTCTATGACACAGAGACCTGCGAATGGCACAACCTCTGTAGCCTCCAGAGATTCCGGCACTCTTCTTGGGGTGCTGCCGCCACGTCTTCAAGGCCGCCCCTGTGCCAATGTATTCCTGAAATATAAAGGTATGGGAACCCTCCTCTTTTCCTACGGGGGCTTCGATCACAAAAATCCGCAGGGCTCTGAGAAGAGCTTTGCTACTGAAAGTGGGGCACACGGTCGCATTCCTCGGTGCCCAGGTCTGCTCCGACATCGGATTTGCAGGCAAGGGCTTTCGTTGCTTCGCCAGAGTGTTGGAGTCGCTGTGCGACTGTAGGTCATGGACATTGAAGTTGCCATCACGGCATCCCAAAGTGGTGTTGTTGCGAAGGGCGAGGAGGCTCGTGAGAGCCCAGCTGGGGGCCCTAGGTTGCTGCTCTCCTTTATCGTCTCAGGCAGAAACCGCGGACACTGGCTTGGAGGCTCTTTGAAGGACCCGACAAGAGAATCCTCTGCTATTATCTCCGATTTTTCTGGAGGCAGCTCCCGCCGGCACGCTGGACCTCGTCCCTCCGACCTACCCAGGCTCCGTCCAGGGGGCCTCTGTCTCCCGGCCTCCCTCTTTGTCCTCTTTGTCCTCTTTCCGCTTCAGCGACTGCAGCGCAGGAACCTCCAAACCCCGGGATCCCACGCGACCGGCCCGGCACCTGAATTCCCTGCATTTGAGCTTGCAAAATCTCTTGGGAGCGAGTTGCTACAGTATCAATCAGACAGCAGCAGCGACATGTCTGCCGGCCCAGATGATGAAGGTGAGAATGACGATTTCAGCATCCTCCATCATCATTCGTTGCTATCGCTGGCAGTATCAATAGCTGCGGCTTACAAGAATAGAAGTGGCCCAGGGTACCGCCGATGGGACGCGCCCTGCGACGCCGCCGCGGAGCCGTTTGAGCCTCAGGTTTAGACATTTTTGGTTGGATATGATGGGCGTGATGTGTTTTGCGTTCTGAGGGGCATTGGCGACGGCTCCAGCCAGCCGCGGCGTCCGATTCTTGGTGTCGGTCCCGAACAGGAGGTCCGGGGTTTCGGTCGCCGGTCGCTAGGTGGATCTAGCCCCTGGCGACGTCAAAGTGTCACCGCAGGCCAAGATTCGGCATTTCCCCTGCACTCCAGATTCATGCTTACGACGTTTACGAGAAAATGCCAGGTGTACGTCAGCCACGAGAAAGATTTCACACACTTGGTCGAAAAGGCGAGAATGCCGAGAACACGGACGCAGTCTTGCCCAGATGCGTACGCTGAATCGCTTTCTTCATCAACGGGAAGAACGGGAGGGGCAGGGAAGGGCGGGGAGGGCGGAGGGCGCGGGAAAACGGCGGGGGTTTGGGCATGAGCGGGAGGGGCAGGGAAGGGTGGAGAGGGCGAGGAGGGCGGAGGAAGGGGTTGAGAAGGGGTTTAGAGAGGGAGAAGGGGTTCAGAGCGGGTTTAGAGGGGGTTGAAAGGGAGTTTAGCCGAGGTTTAAAGGTGGGTTAGAAGGGGTTTAGAAGGGGTTTGGAGGGAATATAAAGAATGGTTTTAGAAAGGTTGAAGAGGGGTTTAGGGGGGTTTAGAAGGGGTTTAGGGAGTGGTTTTAGAAGGGTTTAGAGGGGGTTTTGACGGGGTTTAGAGAGGGCTTGGAAAGAGTTTAGAGCGGGTTTAGAGGTTGTTTAAAAGGGTGGTTTAAAGAGTGGATTTAAAGGGTTTTAGAGAGGGTTCAGGGAAGGTTTAGAGGGGGTTTAGAAAAGGTTTAGAGAATGGTTTTAGAGGGTTAAAGGGGGTCTAGAGCGCTAAACTAAATCTCCACCCAACACATGCGGACATATGTCGCACATATGTCATTGTTGCTTCCTCTCATGTGGTCGGACTCTTGTGTCCTCGCTTCTTGTTTGCTCCGGTTTGCTTTGTCTCATGTGGTCGGACTGCTGTGTCCTGTGGGTTCTTGTTCGGCGCCGGTATGCTGTATGGATCGCTGCTTTCTCTCATGTGGTCGGACTCCTGTGTCCTAGCTCCTAGCTTCTTGTTTGCTCCGGTTTGCTTTGTCTCATGTGGTCGGACTCCTGTGTCCTGGGTTCTTGTTCGGCGCCATTATGGACTGTTGCTTTCTCTCATGCGGTCGGACTCTTGTGTCCTAGCTTCTTGTTTGCTCCGGTTTGCTTTGTCTCATGTGAATGTGGTCATTTCACCAAAAAGATTGCTCCAATACTCAATCTCCTCCCTCCACATTGCCCGGCTACTTGAGGCTGCTGTGCCACCGTACTGTGGAGAGCAGTTCCTGTTATTGGATGTGGTTGGCGAAAAATTCTGAGTCGCTCTCAATTCTTGGAGCTGTGAGCTTGTGGTCGCCTGACACAGGCATCTTAGCAAGGTAGTGTGTTGCTCCGCACACTGGTGGATGAGAGAGCCTTGTCATGTGTCGGCTCAACAGCTGGGCGATGGCGCAGTCCAGCGCGGCGGTGCAGACCACCTGTCACCGGTCTGCATTATTTTGTCCATGCTGTATACGCTGAGGTGTCGAACGAGTAACGAAAGCACGTGCCATCCAGCATCCGTTAGTCACATTCACGCGTCGCCAGCAGACTTCAATTCGCCAAGGCGAGTTGGTCTACTCGTTGTTTTGTGGATGCCAGCCGGCTGCCGCAGCAGCAGCGGCAGCAGCAGCGGCGGCAGCTCGAAGCCCTGGGTTTTCCTTGGCGATTCGAGTCGCCATTCAGCAACTTGTCGGCAAGATTTTAATAAGCGCCTGCGACAATAAGGCTTTTAACCTGCGAAAGGATTGTCATGAGTCGGCTCAACAGCTGGGCGATGGCGCAGTCCAGCGCGGCGGCGCAGACCACATGTCACCGGTCTGCATTATTTTGTCCATGCTGTATACGCTGAGGTGTCGAACGAGTAACGAGAGCACGTGCCATTCAGCATTTGTTAGTCACATTCACGCATCGCAAGCAGACTTCAATTCGCCAAGGCTACTTGGTCTACTCGCTGTTCTGTGGATGCCAACCGGCTGCGACCCCGCAACTGCAGCAGCGGGAGCACTCGCAACAGCAGCAACCACAGAACTCGCAGCAGCAGGAGTCGCAGCAGCAGCAGCAGCGGCAGCGCGTCAAGGAGGAACTCGAAGCGCTGGGCCTGCCCTGGCGATTCGAGTCGCCATTCAGCAACTTGTCCTGGGTTCTTGTTCGGCGCCGGTATTGACTGTTGCTTTCTCTCATGTGGTCGGACTCCTGTGTTCTAGCTTCTTGTTCGCTCCGGTTTGCTTTGTCTCATGTGGTCGGACTCCTGTGTCCTGGGTTCTTGTTCGGCGCCGGTGTTGACCTTTGCTTTCTTTCATGTGGTCGGGCTCCTGTGTCCTAGCTTCTTGTTTCTTCCGGCTCGCTTTGTCTCATGCGGTCGGACTCCCGTGTCCTGTTTTTTCCTCAAACAGCTTTGGCTGAGGGGTTCTTGATTTGCTTAATAGAAAAGGATTTTCTAACGCTCATTTGGATTTCTCACGGCACTACTCTAAAAATCGCTACTCATTTGTCTCCCACTTGTCTCCCATTTGTCTCCCACATTCTGGATGCTCTAACGCCCG